ATATACCTCCTCTGGTCTGGGAACGTCTCGGAGTCCCCAAGGACGAACTGGAAAGTGTCTCTGGGGAGAGCGCGGGGTCTCTCTCCTGCCTGGACATTTATGGTTTGGTTTCGTTGTATGTAAGGATCACTTGGGTTGTTACCGACATCTGGTGAAAATTTCATGTCATTAGCACCTCTAGTAATATATTTACTGAGAAAAATGGTGACGTGTTCAATACTTATTTTACCCGCTGTATATACTGTATACTGCTGCTGTCCTTTCTATGTTCAATGTTGTTGTACAGGGTTGTGCAATGACAATAAAGATTCTATTCTATAATTGTTTGAGTTTATTACTTCCGCCAAGCGCAAGCGGGGGAGGTATTGTTTTCGGTTGCGTCTGTCTGTCTGTCTGTCTGTCTGTCTGTGGACAGCATTACTCAAAAACGTGTGGACGGATTGTCATGATATTTACATCACATGTGGATACTAGCACACGTAACACACCATTAAATTTTGGTGAGGTTCTGAATCACGGTGCAGAGACAGGAAATTTTCTTTTAATTCGAGCAAATCAGCCAGAAGTTGCGAGCTCCCCAAGCCCTGCACAGAACTTCAGGAACGTGTTGCTACGTTACGGGAATAACTGAGAAGACGCGGGCGCAACCGAGCCGAACCTGGTACCGGCCCACGAGCTGAACCACCGGTCCCCCGCCCGTCATCTGCGCGTGGTGGTTCACTTCAGCCCCTGAACCACCGGCCCACGAGCTGCACCACCGGTCCAAACGCAGGTCAGAGAGCCTGTGGTTCAGTCCGTGAACCGGCCCACAGGCTGAAGTGAACCACCAGTCTGACGCGTGCGATTTGTCTGCGCAGGCCAAGCGCGACATCACAAGGAGCGACAGGTTCTGGGGCTCTGATGTTTTTCTGGATTCATTGTGCTCTAAACTATCAAATGACTTCTCTACCTCTCCTCAACACGGGTCGGGCCGATCATACCGCACAGCTGATTTGCGCTGCAGGGCGCCACCTGAAGAGCGGAGATCAGAAAAATTAGTCCCAATAACCCTAGGTGGGCTGCTAAAACAGTGGCGCTTATTAAAAACTAAAAATTCACAAAATAAGAAATGCTTGTCCCTATTAGTGCTGCATAAATTAAATCTCTGTTTGTCTCTGGCATCCAGCAGAGAGATGCACAGTGCAGCAGCTCTAACAGGGCCGAGCGGCTTCAAACAGAAAACTTCTCCCATAAAGCTCAGCCTGACAACAAATCAGCTGTTTACCTCAGAAGACGAATTTGAAAAGTCTTCCAGCTAGATCTAACAGAGATGCGCAGTGCTCCAGCTCGTCATTTCACTGTGGAACATCACCTGTCAGTCACCAGGGGCACAACAAGTGGGGGTGGCCACGGGGGGCTGTGCACCACCAGTTTTATCCTCTTGAGTCCCAAGCTTTGTGCTTATTTAAATATTTCCCAGTTATATAAGATTAGTAGAACCTTATAAATATAAAAGTTTTTTGAAAAACTAAGAATTAATAATATGAATATATATTTTACTTAAAATAAAAAAAAATTAAAATAGTTAATCTGAAAAAACACAACTAATATAAAATAAATGTCCTCAATATCAGGATGAAGCTTTTCATGAGGTTAGAGGCTTTAAATAAATCAATATTTTAAGGTAACTGGACTTCTATTTTGAAACTGTAGATGTTTCTCTTCCCATCAGGGAGGCTTTGTTAGTTGAAAATTTTTGGAGTGGGAGCTTTAGAGCTTCATGAAGGTCTGTAGCTTAGAACACAGAATAGAAATCTGCCCCCAAACTGGACCGTGATGCTTTGCGTTAGGCAAAGATGGCGGTATCTGCAAAATAACCCATTGCAGGATGGGGGAAATTGGTCTTGGCGGAGGTTTGCACTCTCCGAGTGCTTCTAGTTTTTTATATTCTGCTGTCAGACTGGCAGTAACTTAGGATATCACCAAGCACCTACCAAGAGGGTGGTGTCTCGATAGTACAGACTGCACCGTAGTTAGCCATAGCAATAGTTCTCTATTTCATTATTTCAGCTGACAGAAAAAAATGTGAAAAATAGTTCTTCCCTTTGAATACTATTGGGTAAAAGGTAAAATGAGAATAAATAACTTGTTTCTTTTTCACATTAAGCTGCTCAGGTAGAAACGTTAGAAGAAATTTGTGTTTATTTTCCTAGACATGAATGAGCACAGCTCTCGGAGCCACAGCATATTCCTCATCAACATCAAGCAGGAGAATGTTGAAACGGAGAAGAAACTGTCGGGTAAGCTCTACCTGGTCGACTTGGCTGGCAGCGAGAAGGTTGGTCTTGAAGGGATCAGAAAGATTTAATTACTCAATGCAGCAGTGATTTATAAAATCTGTGGCTGAACAGGTCAGCAAGACTGGAGCTGAGGGAGCCGTGTTGGATGAGGCGAAAAACATCAACAAATCTCTGTCTGCACTGGGGAATGTCATCTCAGCACTGGCTGAGGGAACGGTGCGTTTTCTGAACAGAAACTCAGAATCAGATAATCCCCCTTCGTCCATGTTTGATCAGACGTTGCTTTGGTACTTTCCTCAGAAAACCCATGTACCGTACAGGGACAGTAAGATGACTCGGATCCTGCAGGACTCTCTGGGAGGAAACTGTCGCACCACCATCATCATCTGCTGCTCGCCATCCGTCTACAATGAGGCTGAGACTAAGTCCACGTTGATGTTCGGACAGAGGTGCGTCCCCTTTTCTTTTTTCTGTACGTCTTTTAAACCAGGGGCTCGGTTCACAAAAGTCAGATTTGTGCATCCAAGATATCAGCTGTAAGTCGAGCTTAAACAAGCCTTCAACTTAAACAGCTGTAATTAATCGCTCAAACATCAGGCCACGCTTAAATGGGGCGGCTCACACACACACATACGCACCTGAACTGCTTCCCCCCACTCCCTCCCCACAACACACACAACTCTGACCAAGTTCAGTTCATTGTCCCTGTTCATTTTGTTCATTTTCAGACTATTAGGAAACAGATTCAGTGGCATAACAAGTTTATACTAAATTATTTAAGCATTCAGTCGTCCACTATAATTTCACACAAAGTTGATTCAGGAAGCTGACCTTTCTGCTGCCTTTGGTACTCTGGACCATGATATTTTGTGTCATGTTTTGAGCAGCTGGTTGGTGTCAAAGGCACAGTTTTATCTTTGTTCAAATCTTATTTGACTAACAGGAGTTTTTCTGTTCACCTTGGTGAATTTTCTTCAGCAGCTCCTCTGACTTGTGGGGTCCCCCAAGGGTCCACTTTAGGTCCATTCCTTTTTAATCTTTATATGTTAACTTGGGGTCCATTTTCAGAAAGTATAACTTCTCTTTTCACTGCTTTGCTGATGATATCCAGTTCTATTAATTTAGACAGAGTCACTTCGCTGGAAACACTTTAAAGCTGTCTAAATGACACAAAAACCTGGTTGAAACTAAAATTTCTGTACTTAAATGAAAGTAAAACTGAATTTATCAGTTTTGGCAAAATTAACTTTTATGACATTCTTGGAACTTTAGCTTCATACAGCCACTCTACTGTCGGGAATCTGGGTTTTCTCTTTGATGGTGTCTTTAAATTAGATAAACACATTAATTCAGTTGTAAAATCAAGCTTTTTCCAATTAACACTGCCAGGTTGAAATCTCCCCACTAAAGACCTTGAAAGACTTGATAAATCATCTCTGCATCACTTACATATTGTCCAGAATGCAGTAGCTCGTCTTTTAACGGGTACTAAAAATCACGAGCACATAACCCCGGTCCTGGCTTCTCTCCATTGGCTCCCTGTTCACCTGTGAGCTGATTTTAAGGTTTTACTGTTGACTTTTAAAGTTTTTAATGGTCTGGCCCCATTATGTGATCAACATCTACCCTCCAGTCAGAGCACTCAGGTCTACCAGCCAGTTTTTTTTAGATGTTCCTAGATCCAGAATGAAATCCAGAGGTGATCGACCTTTTGCAATAGCTGCTCAGCTACAACTAATTAATTTTTGGCTATCACAGTTAATCAACCGTAGCAAACACAAAACTGATTCTGAGTTTTACAAATGCAGAGATTAAAATTTAGTGCAATAGTAGTTGAGAGTCACTACAAGGAAGATATGCTATTTGCTAGATGATGTCTTTATGAGCTTTTGTTCAGCAGCTGGTGCTCATTCTGACTAATTTTGCCAAGATGTTCTTGAAGAATGTTTTTTTATTTTTTCAAGGTTTATTTTTTTAGTAAAGTCATTTCCTTTTGATGAGATTTTCAGAATTATCCTGTGTTTCTAGAATGAGTAGATGTAATTGCAGCAAACCAGTTTCTGAACTGTTGAAAGAATAAAACTTTGTCTCTCAAATTAGCTAAAGGACAGTAAATGGCTTCAACCTGATTTTACTGAATTGTTTTCTCAAAAAAAAATACATTCATAATGCTTAATGAACTTAATAAACTTCAACTTAGTCTGGCTTCTTAAAGCAAAATATTTAAGGGGACATGTCATGAAAAATCCACTTTTTTAGTTGTTAAATACATTTTGTTGTGTACTTGGAGTCTCTAGGAGGCAGAAAAGTTTAATTTAGTTTTTCCTGGTGCTGCAAAGATATCGCTATATTCAGTTTGGGTCATATTTTTCAGCCCATTCAGTTTTCTCTGTTTTGCATGACGTTTTCTATTATGTCAAATTATCTGCGATAGAACTTCTTAATCAGTTCAGGACTTACCAACTACAATTTCCTTGTCCTAATTCTCCTGCTGTATGGGTCAGACTGGTTCTGGGTCAGACACTTGTTCCAACATGTAAGGTTGGATGGACAAGTCTTCTGTTGTTGACATATTTTAACTAAATTGTAAATAAAATGTTTCTGCAAGATAGAAAAAGCTAAACCCCCTTTTCAAACCAGAAGCGACTGGTTTGGAAGCAGAGGGGGTGGGGCTTGAAGCTCCTTAAAGGAACAGTAGCAAAATCAGCTAGTTGGAGACAGACCTCAGAAAAGGGGTGAAAGAGAAGCTGGTAAAGTTAAAATAAGGAAAAATCCAGACCAAAGCATTGTAGTTCCACTTTATAAAGGCCCCAACTGAATGATTTAAACGTGAAAAGGAAGGATTTAAAAGAATGATATGTCTACTTTAAGTTAATAAAAGGGTTTACGATTTATTTCTTTTTATTAGTGACTGAATTATATTAACAAAATTTAATGTAAACCAAGCAAGTTAGTCAAAGCTCTGCTGTGACTGGATGAATGAAGGTTTCTGGATGATGGTACACTCAGACTATGACAGAAACTAACCAACAGATGGCTCCCAGTTTCCTGCTGTGTAACAGAGTATACAGTATTTCTATTTAAAGATCCCTGTTGAGGTGCGTAATTTGTTTTTTATTGACAAACTTTAATTTTTGACCCAACAACAAATTGTTTCTGTTGATTTGAGCCCACATGCATAAGTGCTGTTTGAGCTTTAGACGTTTTTCATTCATTTTTCTCTCATTTAGACACTGATAAAAAATGTTTTTGATAAACAAAACAGGTGAACAGTTATTGAGTGGATGGAAAGAAAGTCATTTTAGGTCTTAAATAAAATTAGGATGTAAAGCAATAATTTCAAATTCTGCCTCTCCCCTTGACCCTGAATCTCGTTATTTGAAGAAAGAGTTCATGTTTGAGATGTGAAAAATCAGAAGAGATGAGGGAAAAAAAACTGTGAAAACTTAGTCCTGAAGGAAATCTGTTGGACAAAATGAAACTGACTTTGGTTTGGTTTGCATTCACATTGTGCTTTTTTGCAAGTGGACTATATTTTGTAAACAAAGCCATGTGGTTGACGATTATTGCTTCCATTGGAAATAAACAGAGCACAGATTCGTAAAAAAATGGAAGTCTAATCAAAGTTTTTTTTTTCACTTTAATGCAGTATAAGAAAAACATGATGAAAACTGGTAGCCAGAACAATTTTGCAGTAAATCAGGTTCATTCTCTTCTAAAAAATGTATCTGTATCATAGACTTTACCCAGGTGAGGCCACTCCTAGTCTGTATGGTTTACCCAAAATTCACAAACAGGATGTACCGGTAAGACCCATTGTCAGCATGATCAACTCTGTCACTTACAATGTTTCTAAATATCTGACGTCTATACTTGGTCCTTTAGTTGGCAGCTCAGAACATCACATACAGAACACTATGGACTTTGTTGACAAGGTGAGGGATGTCATCATGGAGACGGATGAAAATTATGGTCTCTTTTGATGTTACATCGCTCTTCACGTGCATTCCTGTTGATAA